TCCACAGTCCAATCTTTATGCTCCCTAGCAAATTCAAGCCTTTTTTTCCCGGTTAGCCTCACTGATTAGTGGTTTTCTTACGGCTACACAGCTGTTGAGTCCCAATCCCTTGAGTTACCTTCGCATTGTGCTGTGGAAATGCTCTTACTTTCAGTATTAAACATAGCCCTGAGTTCTACTATTGCTTTTCTTCGATTTGATCTCGCCACACGTTTAAGTGATCGCCGAATCCAGGTGGTGACTTTTTTTTTGGCCAGGCAGTGTAGATATATGTATATGTGTGCATATATTAAGTATCCACATCACCATTTGGATGTCTAGTAGTTCTGTCAGCAGATGGCGCCACATATATCGACGTCAGCTTATTGCTCCTGTTGCAGGAATTCTATTTGAGCTCAATCTAAAGAGCATCGGGTCATCAATAGGATTTATAGAACCCCATTAAAAATGGCACGGCTGGGGGTTAGAAAATCAGATGTGTTGGAGGTGCAATACTGAGTGTGACACTCTATTACACATGTTATACTCTCGCCCTTATGGTCTGAGATAGGGTCTTTTATCAATAAGCTGCTGTCCAATGCACTGGTACGCCAACCTTTACTCTGTCTCCTGGGTGTGGTACCACAGGGGAGTGGGTTGAATGCGCACCAATCCTCATGGTGCTGAACAGCTCTAATGGTTGGATGCAGGATAATATTACGCACTTGGACAACGTAAGTAGCTATATCAGTGGTGGAATGGTTTAATGGGATGTTCAATGATAGATAAAGAAGATGGCTTTATGAAAATTTGAGGGGCTTACATAGTAATTCTACAGTAAGATTATGGTTTTTCTTTTCTGTATTCTTGCTTTACTTCTTTTTGTTTATAAGGATATTTAAAATCCAGTGACGTACAAATATGTATAGTTATATATATATATATAATATTTCATATATTTGTGTAAAAACCAGTAAAAGTGAATTACAAACTAAAGAGCATCAGGTCAGACACTTGATATTTTTAAACCTGTTTAATCAAAGGGCTTTTTTTGTGTAGGCATACAACATTACTCTGCACCTTTAAATCTTTGCTCACATTGCTTGAAGTGGACCTAGATGTTTTAGAAGGTAGAGCAAACAAGATCACTGG